TCGATTTCAACCAGGGCAAATTTCTAGACTTTTAAAACGATTTAAAACAGAAACTATACACATACAAACCCTAACATACTTGTCAAGACAAAGTCTAAGTGCAATAGACTTGAGTTAACCTAGGCTATGATACCACTGGAGGGTTTCTAGACTCATAAAGATCAATAACTGGGCAGCGGAAACATAAATAATTCTGATCAAATATTTAAAACTGGATAGATCTAACTCAACTAATCTATGCAACTTTGATAGGACACACAAAGTATGAAAAACATACATTTGATTTCTTTGAAGGTTTCTTCTTTTGATGAGACAGTTGATTGGACTAGAGAACCCAACATAGAGTACCTCTTCTATAATCGCACCTAAGAAGCAAACAGAAAATAGATCCAAGCAATCCTCGAACTATGAACTTTAAACAGAATCGATATCTTGATTATGTTCGTCGACCACAATGTGAAGAACACCTTTCCACGGCGTGGGAACTGCACTTTGGGATTCTTTAGGGTTTTGAGGATTCCAAACTATATAAGCTGGTAGGAATATTTCACATATGCCAAAACCAGATAATTACCAAACTTAAATGTAATTATCTATTTATAGAGAGGTGGTTTGAAACCCTACAGATAATTACCAAACTTAATTGTAATATTCCTTTATTTACTATAAATTAATCAAACTATTAATTAATTAACAAAATAAGTCCCTCAAATAATTATCTTTTCAGATCTGCTTCATTTTTGTTCTTGCGTGTAACCCAAAAGGACATTGTTATTTATAGTAATATTTTCGGGCTTTGTTATGGCTATGGATACTTATCTCCATCAGTGAGAACCATGGTGGCTTTATTATAAATCCAGGTACGGTGCCAATGATGCGGCATCAGAACCCGATCATCGGGTCTTGCGTGTTGGATCTGGATCGTGGATTGGAGATGAGTGTCGTTAGTTGGTTCCCGATGGGATTCCTAACTACAACAGGTAACAAGAACGTTAGAAACTCCCTAGGAATTGTGCCTTGGGAGTAGGCTCCGATGATCTAGTTAGATCGGTGTATGAGGAGATGGTTTCTCCTGGCCGGTGAGAACCACCTTGGTATATTGGGAGTGTGTATGGGTGTGACATCCCCAAATTCACGGTCATTTTAAAAATTTTATTTATGTTTATTTGAAAATCAGAGTATTCATTTTTAAAGAATAATGTTGCGGAATTTGTTCCCATAAAAACATGATAAATATATTATTAAAGCATTTCCGAAGAAATGTATTTTGTTTTTATTAAAACTTTGGGATGTCATCGTTAATACAGAAACATAAGTATAAACAGGTCTTACATTCATTTACACTAGTGATATACATCTCCTTTAATCACTCAGTGTAATATAGTTTCGTATCGACATCTGTGATACAAATAAACTGAGTGGGTCAGGTTGGGAAACCTGGTGAGTACATAGGGTTTTCAACCCACAATAATATAATTAATATATTTAATCATCAAACAATGAACCCAATTACCCATCCTCATTATCTTCTTTATTCTTAAGGATCTACCCTAAGAATCATCTATCCTTCATTTATTCATTCCTAAGGATCTTCCTAAGGAATAGGCACGAAGTCTATCACTGCCTATGGCACAGCTGCCAATGTTATCTGTTAGGCGCAGCTGCCAATATTATCATTTAGGCGCAGCTGCCAGGATTATGACGTTCTCTATTAGACGCAGCTGCCGATATTATCATTTAGGTGCAGCCGCCAGAATTATGATGTTCTCTATTAGGCGCAGCTGCCAATATTATCATTTATATCATCTTTTATCCCTCATCATTTATCTACCCATGTTCTACCCAACATATTCGTAGATTTAAAATACATATACAGTTTAAATCATTTAAAACATGTATAAATCGTTCATCCAGCATAGATATCAGGAACACAGATAATATGTACACATAGCATGTAATTTATAGTAAATATTTCATATCTATGTATAAGATGAAAGTAACTATGCACTCATCTTAGTAGCGTGATTTGATGGAATTTAAATAGAAACGGTCAGTGGTTCATGATCGCCGGGCTCGGGACAAGGAATGCCTTCCGCAAACGAGAGAGAGAGAGAGAGAGAGAGAGAGAAAATAATTTGGTGTAAGAAGTGTTAGCGTTGAGCTTGCTATTTATATGCTGTTTTGGGCTCTCTCACGTCGTGAGAATCAATGCTCACGTCGTGAGGCCTGGATGCATCACCTCGTAGACTTGTCATTTGCGTTTCTAGCTTCGAAAGGTGTCTGGATGACTTCTCACGTCGTGATAATACATGCTCACGTTGTGAGCCCTGACAGATTAGGGTTTCTGCCACGTGTCATGCTCTCACACAACTACCTCTTCGGAAGGTCATAACTTTTGCATACGAGATCCGTTTTTGACATTCTTTACATCCACGCGTAGGTGGAGACGTACTCTACAAGTTTTGTTAAGATCACTAAGGCTAAAAAGTACTTTATCGTAAACTCACTTTTTACGATTCCCGGTGTCGTGCCGGTTTTGTCACGAAACTTCGACATGTCATAACTTCTTCGTTATAACTCGGATTTCAGTATTCTTTATATGTACGGAACCCTTGTGACATATACTATAACTTGGTTAAGATTATTTATTCTAAATAACCTTCTATCAAAAAGTCGTTTTTGACGCTTATTGTCTCCAAATTGACTAGCCTGAATCTGCGGGCGTTACAATGGGCATAATGGAGGTTGATGGTGAAGGAGATGATCTAGAGATCAGAAAGAGATTCTTCTTCATGGAGGAGGAAACATTGTATTTATAAGGGACAGTTAGGTCAATAGGAATTAGATTAGGCCTTCGGTCAACCCAATTTATGCTCAGCTGGCTGGCAGCAGCGCTAGCCAGTCGGGCGGTCGCGTAGTGCTGCAAGGCAGGCAATGTTACGACCAGCCATGGTTGGCCAGCACTGTTGCCACGCAGCCAAGTCGTCAAGCTATTGGGTCATGCGGATGGAGGAGGCCGAAGCCGAGCCCGGTGCAAGGTCGAAGCACCAAAATATCTCGCCCAAATCCAATAAGAGATTGTGCACCACCCACGATTATCTGCGAAAAGGCACATCCGGTATAAACACATAAACCGTACAAGGTGACAGACATTATCCCATCCTCCAACTCTATGAATATGTCTTCCATATGAGGTATCAAGCAAATAACACAACATTATCCCCTTACTTATCTCTAAAGCTCACATACACTTTCTTATAAACGTCTAACTTAAGTGTAGGACTTTAATCCCAGGATCTTCCCATATTACACCTGACTAGTGTTCCCATTTTTGATCAACAGGTCTTGGAACATCTCTCAACATCAAGAGGATCCTAACTCTCACTCCATCGTTCATCTTTAACATCTTCCCTCCAAGACTTGGTTGCATCATGTAAGAACTATATATTTTACTCTAAAATATAAAATTATATATCTAATTTTGTTGCATTAGGTTTTTGTGATAAGTTATAGGTTTAAGGCAACCGGTTACCCACATGTAAACATAGATTGTTGTATATTCGAGTATCTATAGCTTACTCATACCACATATCCAAATCTATATATTGTTTTGAATAAAAACTTGTGAAAAAACATAAGTATCCATGTACATGCGAGTATCTATAGTTTACTCACACCGCATATCCAAATCTATGTATTGTTTTGAATACAAACTTGTGAAAAAACATAAGTATCCATGTATTGTCTTTGAACACGATTTTTCTTAATACATTATATAGCGTGATACTGCAAATAATATATGTGTCAAAGAAAGCATACAAAATCTTTAGGACTCGTGAAGTAGCGAAGGTTGGGCCAAAGCGTGTGTATGAGTACTCATTCTCTAGTTTAAAATGTGAGTCAGGAGTAGTTTTTTCCAATACAAGTTAATAATATAACTCGGTTAATAAAGGCCAAGCTACATAACAAAAATGACCAAATCGATTTAGTAATTTTTAAACTTAGTTTTGAACTTATGGTCGTAACTTAAAACTACAAAGGTCTATTCTCTATTGTAATCATATGTCAATGCATGGGTGCACTTTCCACGTATCATGGGTTGCAAGCCTTGATAAAGAAATTAAAATAGATTGATATAAAGAAGGTGGGCATGGTATGGTATCATAAATATGTGGGGCAAGTCTTGTGTTTTTTAAATTAAATCACATTTTCATCCATGTTTAAGTATTCAGCATGAACTAAATGCTTATCATTGAACTGGTGTTACCAAACCATTACCCACTATGCTTGCCTTTTGAAGTGGTAAAATTGGTGATCATCCACCATAATGATCGTGTTGGTGTACTTCTAAGTTCTAACTTCTAAGGCACTTCTAGGCTCATCTGGCAATGATGACTCTTTGTTGTTCTACACTACATACAAATTAATAAATCATCAAGGATCTGTATTGATAGAAATGTCTTTTTTAAATTTAATATGCATGTGATTAATATTTTTTATTGTTTATTAAATAATTATTCTTATAAAAAAATCAAATACTAACAAAACTTGAATAGTTTGGTCAACTTTTCATTAGTATAATAATGTTTTTAAAATTAATTTCAAGTATAAATAATGATTGAAATTGTTTTGTTACAAAGTTTGTTCAGAAAACTTATGCAACTATAATCGAATGTTAGTGAGCAAGACATCATTACTTACATAGTTATTTTGATTAGAACCGTCAAAAAAAGCAATCTAAAAATTGGAGTTGTCAATCCACCATGCAACAGACAACTTGACTTTGTGTGTGTTAAGTTGCAATCGTGGATGCTTTCTTAATTAACATCCTAATAAACAAAGACTATAAATAATAGTGAATTAATGTCAAATAGTATACTAATACAACATGGCTCCCAGTTAAATTTTTGAAAAATTGAAACTTATGAGACGGATCTTTTGTCTTATCAAATAGTATACTTCACATACCTCATAGTTATTTTGTTAAGAATCATAACATGACAGAATGTTTGTTACCTTAAAATGTAGTTTTCCTTTATAGGGTCATTTTTGTGAATAACTTATCATTATTTTGTATTTGGTTTTATGAGAAGATATGGAGGTGAAAGGGAAGGGTCCAAAATTAAAACAAGACCTTCGCAATAAAAGCAACAAGTCACAAGTGAAGCAGCAATGAAGAAGATACAGTTAAAACATGAGCCAAAGAATCACAGACACACCGACTTCTTTCCTCTCCCATCTCTTTCCTTTGTCTCTGTAATAAAAATTATATAAACCCTCTTCGCATCTCTGTTTCTTGTTCAAAAAAAATTCAAATAAAATATATATAAACAACAGCAACTTCAAAGAGAATTTCGCTTTGTTTTGAGCTCTAAATTCTTAGGTGTCGGGTGCAGACATCCGTAGATTTTGTACTGAAAAATCCCGCAAAAAAAGGCCGAAAAACAAGAAGCGAAAATCAATGATGGCTAATGATACCTTCACAGCAAAATGGAGGTGGGTCCTTCTCTTTCTCTCTCTACCCTCTCTCTCATCTCTGATTATCATTAAAACGTGATGTGGGTTTTTGATTTCAGTGACAAAAAGATGGAAGGAGACGAAGGTTTGAGAACTGTGGAGTGTTTAAGAGGCAGATTGCTTGCTGAAAGAGCAGCTTCCAAGGCTGCTAACGATGAATCTGAACAAATTGGCAAAAAGGTTTGCTTTTTTACCCTCATTGTATGTTTCAATCTGTTTTCTCACACTCAAATGTGTATGTGTGTGTGTGTTTCAATAGTGGGTTTGAGTTTGGATTTCTTTACATGCATTGTTTGGTTTGATTTGAGTTTTGTGAAATCTAAATATTGCAGGTGATTGAGCTCGAGAAGCAGTTGCAAATGGAGATCAAATCAAGAAACAAAGCTGAAAAGAGGCTGAAATTTTTGATGAAAAAGCTTAATTCTCTGAACATATCATATGTTTCAGCAGATGAATCTTCAAGTTTTTCTGAAAAAAGTGAGATTTCATCTGTTTCATCGTCTTCCAGATCTCAAGATCAGATGGAGTTGCAGAAGACCCAATTTAGTAACAAAGCGGAATGTGTCACGGACACTGGTGAAAGACATAATTGCCCTTCACATGATGATAATCAGGGGTCTTTAGACGAGGCTATTTCTGGAGATTCCAATACAAACGTGATTCAATCCAGTCAAAAAGATGGTGACAAAGATGCTTTAAACAAAGATGAAAACAATGGGTATGTTTCTTGGATTTAGAATTTGATTGACAAGACATTTAAATTTTTAATTATTGTCATTTTAGATTTTATGGTATAATGTATAATCTTATTATTATTTTTTTATGTATTTCTGTCAACATAGACTATATATTTAATAAGTTTAAAATAAGATGTTTGTAGATAAAATAGATTTTTGCCCATGGATTAGGTTAGCAAATTGTCACGTAACAAATTGCACTTGACTTTTGAAAGTCAAACAAAATATTGTATTACTTGAAATTTTTGACAAGGATAATTTATAATATTTTAGATAACATGGATTACATATATTTTATATATTAAAAAGATACAGGAGTTACTTAAAATTGCGAATATGAAAAATGTTATATCATATATAATTAATATTGTATCATATATAAATTCCTAAAACTAATGAAAATTTGACTTATTTTTATTTTTTGTCTTTAAATATAATATGTGAAATCATATATTTCCCAGATTAAAAGATGATAATAGAAACATTTTGAAACTTCTTAAGCTTCTTTAATAAGAAAAATATTGGGTGCGACTGTTTAAATAATGTTTCAAAGACATAGTATGTCGTATATCGTGTATTGTAACCATTTATCACAAAATCTTTTGTTTCTTCTAATATTCGATCTTTATGTACTAGATCTAAATCTTCAGTTACAAAGAACATTGATTATGAAGAACATGATCAAGACACGTATTATAATGTCGATAACTCAATGGCATTGGTTATTGTTGAAGAAAAGGCACTTATGACAACAAAACGTGAAGAAGATTGTGATGATAGCTTCAACAACTCCATGGCATTAGTCGTGGTTGATTCGGTTATCAAAGAAGAGAAACAAGATATGCCAATTTCTACTAGCAATGTTAAAGATGTTCTTGATGCTTTAAGGTATGCTAGAGAAAGCCTCAAAGCATCAATGGAGATGAGAAGACACATGAGATCAAGCATTGTTCAAGCTAATAGACTCAATGGGATATCATGTTAAAGTATCATGTTTTAATGGTTTTGTTTATAAAAATACTTATATATATATATATATATATATATATATATATATATATATATATATATATATATAATAGAGAAATAAATTAAAGAATGAAGACATATCACAAGGGACACTACATATATATATATATATATATATATATATATATATATATATATATATATATATATAATAGAGAAATAAATTAAAGAATGAAGACATATCACAAGGGACACATGAGTAGTGTACCCTCTTTTCCATTGCATGCTGTCTTTGTGAAATTTGTGACAATAGATGCTAGGTTGTGCCGATAACACGTGTATTATGTTGGTATGTTCTTGTCATATTAATTGATATAAATGATCTACTTTAAGAACATTGGTAACATTGTGGACAACATGTTATAATAATATTTTGGTGTCATCTCATATGCCACATCAGTACATCACCAATGATGTTATAACATCAAGTGAGGAAATGATTACCATGTTATTATTATTTTTTTTTTGAACGGCAAATACAAATATATACTAAACTACTCCTAAATTATTTCACATATGTCCACAGTGGGACTTGAACCCTTGATCACAAAGAGAGAGGGCAATACCAGATACCGCTGGACTAAAAGCCCTTTGGTGATTACCATGTTATTAACATGTTATAACACCCATTATTATAGGTAAAAAAAAGTAAATAATTTTTTTTTAATTCAAATGGTCATATTACCGTTCGAAAAAGAGTAGCCAATCAAATTGCTTGTTTTCTCTCGTGCTTGTTACAACCGGAAATGACTTAACATCCTCTTAACGTTTGCCGCCACCTCAGCGATAACGGGAGCATAACATGCCCATACCGGGTGCTCTAAAGCAACAGAATGAAAAAAAATAAAAAAATCAAATATCTTTTATCTCTTATCTTTATTTGTTTTTCTATTTTATACTATCAAGATTAGTACTAAAATTAAAAAAAGAGATTAAAAGAAATTAATAGCATCAATATGTGATTATTTTATATGAATAGAAAGAAAAGATAAAAGAAAATATTTAATTTCTTAAAAAAAAATCATGTTAATTGTATCAATTTTATTAAGGACTTTATGTGAGACATTTAAAATATTTTCTTTGTAAAAAAAAGTATACTATAAAAATATTACTTTATAACTAATAAATCATTTTGTTAATTATATTTATTTTTTATGATGTTAACTGAACATTCAGATATTTAAAAACTAATTATTTAAAGCTTGAATAACTAACAGTTATGAGCAATTTATAAAATGAACTTACTGAAAACCATTATTTTCTTAATTATCAAAATAATAAGCTTTATAAAACAAAATAAGATGTGATATTGTGATGTTCCATTTTGAGGTACGGCTAAAGACGAAAGCCATGAAATTTTATGAAAATACTTTGGGATAATGACTTCAAATGGTAATGTATTTTTTGATTTATACATATTTGGTCATTGAGTTTTTTATTTCGTCCACATTTACCTCTTCAACTTGTTAAACTGTACACATTCAGTCATTATGACCGGCTACTCCAGGTTAGCCGGTAAAAGTTACTTAATATGGTTATATATTTCTCACTTTGTACACATTTAGTCCTTAATATTTTTGTACACATTTAGTCCTTATTAATTTTTTTTGCAAAATAAGACATTTTTGTTTTTGTACTCATTCAGTACTTATGAATGATTTCTTTAGGTTTTTCTCACGAAATCTTACGTGGAACATTCATTAATGAGGTGTTTGGGCCTTTTGATATTTATGTCCATCGCGATCTCGACTACTTGGTTGCTTTGGTCATGCGTTCTGAACATCATAACTTGTTCACACGATCTCAGATTTTAACAATCTTTATATCCATGCGAACGATCTTTATATCCATGCATTCGTATTTTAGTCTACTATAACTTTCATTTAGATTACTCCCATTAAAAAATTATATACTCCCTCCGTCCCAAAATTATTGTCCACGTTTGACTTTTTAAGTCTCTTTTGTTCAACTTTGACCTTAAATAATTTATTTTTTGTTATATAATTTTTTATGCAAGATATATGACTAGATTGTTTTTTAGATGTATTTTCGTTGTTATAAGTTTCATCAAAAATTATATACCACAAATAAAGTTATTTATGGTCAAAGTTGACATGGAAAGACTTCAAAAGTCAAATGTGGACAATAATTTTGGGACGGGGGGAGTATTTTTTACTTACGATTTTTATATCCATACGCAGTGGTGGATTTAGCCTTGTCCTGGTGTTGCATCAGCAACACCCATTTTTTCTGTTCATAGTGGAAAAAACTTCGATTTTTTTCGTTTATACCTATTTTTCATATATATCAGCAACACCTATTTCATATCGGCAACACCTACTATGTATTTCTGCGTCCGCACTGTTAGATAATTATGGGACCACTTCATATATATGTAATGTTATCATTAAATCCAATTATTATGGTAAGAATATAAATTATTGATGGACCGATTTATAGAATATTTACTTACCTTGTGGGTTGAGTTCCCGGTTTGACTTAAGATCCTCAATATCCCTTCCATCTCTCACATTAGGGTTTATATCCATCTATAAATACATGTGATGAGGAGCAAATCAAGACACACGAAAATACACATGTAAATTCATTAGGGTTTGCTAAGGGATCTTAGAGAGAGCTCTTGAGATCAACTGGAAAAACTCAATCCTAGTTCTTCACATCCAAATATCATAATGAAATCAGGTATGTAATCGTTCTTTAAGGTTTAAAGTTTTCTTTTGACAGATTCGAGATTAAGATCTAAAGTTTCCGCTTTTATGTTTTGGATATTAATAATAACCAACAATTGGTATCAGAGCCGTACTCGAATCTGTTACTAGAAAACCTTTTGTTGAAGACATCACCTGCGTTTTTGTTCTTCCTTGTTTTCCGGCGAAATGCAAATAGCCGACTGTGATTTTTTTTTCTTCAAGATAAGAATGTATTTGTTTTTTCGGATTTTGCATACTTTGAGTAGTGGAGATCATCATTCTTGTTTTATAATAATTTGCATGATTTACTCCTGCACTTTAACCATTGGATAAAATTTATAAAATCGGGTAAAAGTATGATCAGGCTCAAGCTTTTCAATTGTGTAAGAAAGACTCAAATAGTCATATTATCACCATCGATAAGAGTATTAATTTCTTATGTGTATTTTTTGAAGAAGCTACATACCATGCTTTGTATATGAATGTGGTCATGAACCTTACTGTTGAAGTTGACCATTTACCGGCAGCTTGTAATCCTTTTGTGATTTGCTTTTGTCCCACAATTTTTTTATTGTTACTCTTATCCTATATTTATTTTGGAAAATTAAAAGAGTACCAAGTATCCATTGGTTTATTACTGTTGATGGTTTATTACTGCTGACAATTAAAATAAAAATAATTTGGTTATACTTAATTTCTGCCAATTGCTTCTGTGTTATGCACACATTTGCTTTTCAAAGTAGTTTCCTATTTAATCTGTCCTATAAACATTATATGTATATATTTGCAAGTGGCGTTTTTTTATAGGATTAATTGATTAATGTTAATTCATATATTGTTTCTTAATTTGTTGTTCATGTGTATGGCATAACTCGAGTTTTGACATGCACTGTTAATAATATATGAAATTATTTTGGTTATCAATAAATTATGTTATGACATTATTTATTTTCTTTGAAAAAATTTATTGACACAATATCTCGTTAGAGTTATATTTTTGTGAAAATTATTTTTTTTAAGAATCTAAATTTTATGGTTTATGTGTTTGTTAATGCAAATATTAATCGATCCAAAGGTAGGTTAATATTTGGCCGAATAAACACACGTTTGATGATAAATATGCGACAATTTTTAGGTTACATGTCATTAATAAGTCAATCCAAAGAGGGGCTTATTAAGTGACATGATATATTGTCAATTTCTATTATCAAAATTTATAGTTTATGTGTTTATTAATGCGGGTATTAGCCGACCCAAAGGTAGACTAATATTTGGCCGAATAAACATATATGTGGTGATAAACATGTGGTGATTGTTTTTTTTTTTTGGTTCCATGTGATTAATAAGTCAATCCAAAGAGGGGCTTGTTAATTGACATTATTTATTGTCAATATTTATCTCTAAAACAAGGTTATCTCTTGCAAGTTAGTAATATTGTCCAAAGACTTGATAGTAATGTTGTGTCGATACCTTATAAAGATGTCATAAATTGAATTTATTGATTACGGTTTATGGATTAATGAGCATAAAAATAGACTTGCTTATGTTTGAATTATGGTATTATATCTGCTAACATTGGTCACATTTTTTATTCATGTACTCAATGAGATTAACTTTGAGGAATGGAATGAGGGCATTATGTTAGTTCTCAATTGCATGGATATTGACCTTGCATTTTTGGATAGAGCAAAATTCTTTGAGGATGTTGAGTTTGGGGGAGAAACAAGGTTAAAACATTGTCCTTAAAGAGGATTCAATCTTGATTCCTATTATTGCTTTCGATAGTATGCAGATTATGAATTAATGATCGACAATGTTATTCAATCTCCTATTCTAAATACACAAACTCAACAACCTCAACTTTGGATATCATATGCGTGGTACCATATTTTTCATCAATTTATTATCTCTTTTGGTTTTGAGGTAAATACAATAGATGATTTTGTGTATCACAGATTAAGTGGGAGTAAATTTATTTTTCTGGTTTTGGGCAGATATCTACACAACTTAAGTTTGGATCACAAGAAAGCAACCAAATGGATTTTGAGATATTTATATATAACAAAAGGCTATATGCTCAACAATAGGAAATTCAGATGCTTTGGAGATCATTTTTATTAAGAATGTGAATTTATTAGATGTCAAAATGGTTACTGATCCATATCAATATACTTTTACATTTTAGCATGATGAGCCATTTCATGGAATAGATTTCGGTAGCTTCTTCCATAATGGCAGCATAATTTGTAGCATGGAATATGGTTG